TGCACTGTGGTGTACTGTGGAACTTCCATGATTCGTTCACATCGAGGTGAAAAATCACATTTATTGCACTGTGGTGTGCTGCTCGAATTCCATGACTTATTCCCTTCGAGGTGAAAAATATCAGTACAGTAATTAAAAACGCATACAGGATGAGATGAATTATTTTTTATTACTCGCACCCTACGAACAATCATACTTTACTTCTCAAACAGGAAACAGTTATCATTTTCAGCTCTCACAAACAGCTGCTAACTATTGGAACGACAGAAAACACTTTGAGGTTGCATTTGYTGATAATTTTTAGCGAATGTATYATTAAATGAAAAACGGGTCCMCACGATGACTCCTTCACGGATAGACGGACAAGAAGAAGTTATCGATTGGCACGTTTTARRTTGAATATTATTAAGAAGGTGATAGTCCTCGCAGCTATTCAACACCACGTTTTGTGTACGTACCTGTTGCAGAATCACAAAAAATTATAAATTATTGCAGGAAGGCAATTACTAGTATGATTTTATTGATAGAGTAGATCACWTAAGTAGAAAGTAAGAAGACAAAATCCAAATATTACTTATAATACTTTTCCAAAAACTATCCTCACACTATCAGTCCACGATAGCGTACGGTACGTACGTACCAATATCTTTGGTCCTTTGGTTACCAGTTTCTGGAGTCTCATTCAGCTTTAGCTTCATCTCAATGCTTTATGAAATAAATTCGCTAAATATTATGTGTTATGGTTCATCTCATTACCATAAGTAACAACAACATCACTCGATACATCAATATATATAAATATATGTTTTCACAACGGCGAAGCTTGAAACAATAGTCCACATCGTAACAGCAGAAGGGTTGGAGTTTAGTAGACCGAACAAGAAACTACAATTTGGTACTCAGACCTCTTTTTCAAATTTATTTCGGTGAGGAGATATACTTTCGTTCGATAATGTATGGTCACCAAAGGAAGCATGCAAGCCCTCTTCAATGATATCTCATTTSTACGAATTCGAAGAAATGAATGAATTCCCGGGATCGCCTTCTTCTCCCTCGATGCCCTTCCCGCATTCTATGCGACTCGACAATCKTTTGAATCCATTTGAGGACGAAACCAAAAGGAATCTATTTTCAACTCTCAATGACGGCACAAGCAACCTAATCCTACCGACCCCGGTGGAGGTGAGAAAAATGGTAGCCAATGAGCTGAATCAAATGCCGTGCGAAAGACGAAAGCGCGCTATCGAAGACATTCACGGCCTAACCGTTCCGCAGAAACTTTCAAAGAAGCATGCGGACGAGGTTCTATCCGAGTTGAAAACGGAGCTGACGTTTCATGCGCACAACGTTACAATCGATTACAATTCCTCAGGAAACACGGCATCAGGCGTGTGCACGGAACACATGAATGCAAAGACGAATGCTTATCATCAAGCACAAGTCGTTGGAAGCAGTTTACTCAATAATCGTGCCTTTCAGCTGTCGTTTTTGCGGACGACGGACGATATGGATCCAAAGAAAGCAGCGATTCGTCTCGTGGAATACCTCGACTTTATACGGAAGATTTACGATACGGAAGAGGTTCTCTTCAGACCAATAGGCTTGAACGACCTCCATGAGGAAGCAAGGAGGATACTCGAAACCGGTATGTTGCAAGTGCTCCCCGTTCGTGATACTTCTGGGAGGCGCATAATGATTCATTTTGGATGGATAGAAAGGTCCATTCACGTGTTATACCGAGTAAGTAGTCTTCTATTTCATGTGGTAAAACCATATTTGAACATTGCATTCGACGCTCAATTGTGTTCTTTCGTAGAGTATTGGCAATGCAGTGCTTGTTTTTGCTTGGTTTGCCTCGGCGCGGTTTGACTATTTGRTGTTTCTTCCTTTCCTTTCCTCTCATCCACATTCACCATTATCTATATTATGTGATCCCTCTCTATTTGCACTAAATCTAAATACACTACGACGATCACCGTGCACAGCAACAAATTGCCATGTWCATGTTGCAATCCCTCGCCGAAGAGCCCTCGGGTGTTGTTCTTGTCCTTATTTTGCACAATGTCTCAACCAMAGCTTTTCAGCATGAAGAKAATGTGAATGACCTTRAGAGRRTTCTCGCTACCACCCGGACTAAGTTTAGTGCAATCCACATCTGTTCACCGGATAGCCCCCTCCACGACCTTATGCAAGCAAGCCTGACGGTCATATTAGGGAAGGACAACCGAACGCGATTGCGGTTGCACACAGGCTCGTTTTACAAGTGCAAAAAGAGCCTCAAATCGTTTGGAATCCCGTTTGATCATCTGCCTATCAGTGCAWCCTTAGACARCACCTCTAACCTACGAAGTCATCGTCAGTGGTTAATATCTTGTTCGGCATTGGAAAATGYTAYACAAGACGAAGTGAAAAGGATTAGATACGCCAATCATCGTCATTACAGCTACAAGGAACCTGAAATGATGGCAGCAAGTCTAGTTCGGTCCAAATTCATAGACAGCCCTTYTCACGAAGACTGCGTGTTCGGGAAGGGTCGCTCGGTGATGAATCATCCTGGGAACGTGGCAATGCGCCTTTTGCTAGCCAGGAAATACGACCTGCACTTCAACAACCGCGATGGCAATGAATCGAATAGGACTGTCTCGACGCTGAAGATTGCCCAAGAAGTCCTGAAGACGATCAAACAGGGGCACGGGCGATTCCTAAAGGGATGCCATGGCGCCTACGAAGGGCTRTTGGTTCCGGTTGACGATAAAGTCGCCCTTCAAAAGATTCGCGTCGCTTTCCGTGATCTTAAGGCACGCCGAATGCCGAAGAAGATGAGCAAAACCAGCACGCGTGACTTCTGCCTCAAGCGAACCAGAAACGACTCTATGCCATGAGMACGAACTGGAATTTCTTGAGCATTCCCATCTATGCGTATCGGAAGATAATGCGAGTACCGTACGTCCTCTTTCATCATAACTTTACGGTACGGCGAAAGATTTCTTTCGTATTTATTGGAAATGCAACTCCAGATRTACATGCAAATCAACAAATTTTCCCCAATGATTGACGAATGATAACAGCGTGAACGTCATAGACACAAAAGATAATTTGAAGCCTAAGATAAAGAAATCGTCCGTATGGATGAGAGGTTATGATATCTTTTGAAAGTACTGCGAAATTTGAAATGATGCTATCATTCTTTTTGTTCGTTGCGGCTGCGCATTTGTGGACCGAAGTCACGTTGTGTCACGTCATTGATTGAATAAATGACCCATTTCGATGAATTTTGGCACTCTTTGTCCTTTGTTTCAAGTACACGTCGTTTGATACGATTTCTTGCCAACTGTTGCCCTACCCAATAAGAATTATCATGCTCAGTACCACATTGTATCGTGAAAAARCCAAAATATATTCCCGAAGGCCTGTTGAAGGTCAGGCTAGATATCCAGCAAACGAAGGTATCAATCGAGCCTCTGGCAACGGAAGCGTAAAGAATGCCAATGGAAGCGTGAAGAATGSCACTCGGTATATGTGCCGTACTAACGTATGTCACATTTTTCYGAAGACATCATCGGATTGAAAACATGAGAAAAGTTCAATGAACGTGGAGTGACAATCTTTTTGCTTCATTTTTCTTCATTTTGAAGCGTAATGTTGATTTGGTAAAGCTTATTCCGTCCACAGCAGTATTTTGACAAATTGGTTTGTTTATGGTGATGTGACGGCAGCCCGAATCGCCTCCAAGTTGGAACAGAGGTCGGCAACAATCCGTCCCTCCACTAATCGCACCGGAAGGTAAGGCCTTGGAGAGATCTCTACCGCGTAGGTCAGTCGCATGGCCTCTTTCCCAGGGGGAGAACACCCGACCAGCGGCTGCATCCTCCAGACACCCTGGTACAATCGAAACTCGCCGTCGTCTCCCACGATGGACTGCATGGAAATGTCCTTCGTCGGAAGTTTTTTGTCACCCACGCAAAAGGGGCGGGGAAATCGGTAGCGCTTCAGCTTGGTGTCCTTCAAGACTCCRGCCCGAGCCTCTCGGGACTCTCCCTCCCAGACGTCATCTAGAAAATGTGCAAAGTCGGGCATGCCGGTTGGCCACTCCCGGACCTCAAGAGTAGTGCGGGCAGAAAACTGAATCCCGGCAACCTTGGCACCACCAACCTGCCGGAGAAGGGATCCCTTTTTGGTATTCGCCAACTTTTCGCAGCGGACTTCTTCCGGAACCGCTTCGTCACCGGCGATAGCATCGATGCTTTTGGTTTCATCGCTGCCATCATAAAGCTCCAAAACATCGTTCACGACCAAGTTTGGAATCACRTTTTGCAGCTCGCCATAATTGGTTAATACCTGAATATAATGCCATGCAATACATTGACAGAACGGACCAGAAACAAAACAAAAACAGTAGAATGTTAATCGACGACAATGAAACAAGTGCCGGAATCGGAGCAGAGGATGCTGTTGCATAGCATGCAATACCGGACGACCTCGAATAGACAACATCGTTCTATGATCTGCACCATCATGCTATTCAACAACCGTGATGTGATGCCATACAACAATCCCAACTCACGTTCCAGACGTCGTCCGCCGAAGCCAAAATGTCTATGCCGGCAAAAATTCGCCTCGAGTTTTCCGGTGCCTTTTCGATGCGTACAACTGGTTCGGCGTCCGGCAGCAGGCAGGAGTCGGGATCTAAAAAGGGTGGTGCCATAGCGCTAGACCCATAGTCTATGTCGTCGAAGGTAAGCTCGGAGAGGTCGACCAAGYCTTCCTCGTTCTCGCCTTCAGCTGCCGCTGCACTAATGGATTCCTTCCCGCCGACAGCTGCAATCATCTCCATGGCTTCGAGGGCAGCTACCGATTCCTGCTTGACCTTGTTCAGGGCTAACCTCGCCGATCGAAGGGATTCTTCCAGTTCGTTGAGAGAGGCTTCGACCGGAGCAAAGGCGAGATCGACTTTCGATTGGTGCGGATTGAACGGTTTTTCCTGTGCCTTTTTCCCATCGGTAGCAGGAGGAGAAGGGGATACATCGTTGCTGGTGCTGGTGCTGGTGCTACCACCGATGATGCTTCGGGATGTAAACAATCGCTTAACGTTGTCTCGAAACCCAGAGGATCGACGGCGGCTAGCTGAATCGGCGGGCCGATCTTCTGGTGTAGGTTTCGAAAATAGGCACGTAACGCGTTGCATTGTTGTTGTAGGCCCCRTTGCTGTTGGTGCGAGAAGCGGTTCATGGCTGGATCTATAACTGGAATAGTTTCGGGATAGTTTTCTGGAAACGGGAGAAACGAAGACAAATCCGTTCGTAAGTTGGATGAATGTCTTTTTGTGCGTAGTCATCAGCAGCAACAATGACAACATCGGTGCTAGCAACAGCAATCGGTGGTAGTGGCTGGTATTGCATCTTTTGTTTGTTCTCCGGTCCTCAGTTCTCGAGGGCATAGTTGATGTTGTTCTTTTCGTATAAATATCCCGGTCCATTCGACGTAAATTGGATTTGATGTCGTTGTTTCTGTATTTAGCACACCATCCGTCTGCTRTGTCACTCGATCTCATCATCGTTCTTTCTTGTCTATTGTGGTTTCGAAATCAATACTTCAGTACTTCGATACGTTGTCATAGAGTGGTGCGAAGCTATGTTATGGTTTAGTTTGTTATTCGCTTCAATTGTCTCGAAAAACGCAGCAAGACGATGATGTGTCATGCGTCGTTAGATTGGAAGAAAGATGCTTTGAATTCTCTATTATAATGATGATAGTTGAGAATAGAATTGATAATTCGATGATAATGATAATGATGGCACTGGAAGATGCTTGAGGTACATGGGGTACAGAATGGCGTTGAGATGCAATATCGTTACGGATATGGTGATAGGATGATGATGATGATTCAATCCTTCTTCATTCCACGGGATTTTAACAGGTATCATCTTCCCATCTGTTGCCTTCGTACTTTTAGGTTCGATGGTACTCGAACGCCTACAAGTACGACAGATCATAGTACTTGTACTGGTAACAAACACTATGGTGAGTTCGCCAAGATCATCCAACGAGSATGTACTCCTCGTACGTTTTTCTATGCGACACACTCAACGCGACGAAGATGATTTTGTTGAGTACGTACGTACGTACGTACCCACCTACCGTACAATGCACATTTTGTACGTCTGCAAGCGAAAGATACGGATCAATCGGAAGACAWGTAAGCTCATAACCTTGACCCCGTGGGAACTGAGATCACAAACGCTTGACTCAGGAGATATATCCGTGGTTCAGTCGTGGTAGTTACTGAGTCGTGCACGAGTAAGCATATCCTACCACACTCCTACCACACTTGCTGCACGTTGCAAGTACGAAAAACATAATACCACCCCTACAATACGCAAGGGGTCAACGCTGATACGAGTTAGCTACGAGTCACTTCTACTCGTACTCGTGATTTATCTTCACAATCGAACCCCAAAGATGTCCAATTCTGTTGTTTATCAGTAAAAAATGAAGTACTTTGATCAATAAGTCAGCAGGATAGAGTGATACACGSCTGTGCCCATCTACATCGTACAACTAGGACTAGTGGTATTGCTCTGCAATAGTGGCGATTCCTAGGACCACAGAGGTCGACATCACACTTTTCGGGAGGATCTGATTCTCTTCTGAAAATGGCACGAATAATTTCTACGAAGMAGCAGAGTGKTATAGATCAATAAAACTTAATGCTGGCAATACTRTTCGGTAGTCATAGAGCARTGCTTTGAAGCATACCTGCACACATAGATACATGCATGCCTTGTGTGACAAATTCCTCGACTACCTTCATTTCTCCTCAAGGACATCGATGGCCCAATTCAGATAAGCCCGCAAGTACCGAGCAGACGCCAGAGGGAGATCCCGAGGCACCCCAATCCTATCCCTCAGGTATGCCAGGGAGGACACCATACCATCCACGCTTGCACCACCATGGCTTSCCGCTGCTTCCACCAGGGCATCTGCGTGGTCTTGGCTAGGAACGGTGTTGGCTTCGACCACGAGCATGGTCCGGGAGACGACCCGCAGGAGGGCATCAACGCTTTCCAGTACTCCCTCGTCGGGAGCCGCGTACGGATCGGCCAGCTCGGCTCCAAAGGTCTTGCGGTTGAAGTTTTTGGATCCGCTTGGACCACCGCGGGAAGCAAAGCGTGACACGGCGCTTCCGTTCCCGCAGAGTTTCCAGGCAGCCATGGTCTGACAAGCGGTTCGGAAGGCCTGGGAGGTCTTGGCCGTSGACTCGTACGATCCACTCTGGGCATCCGGCCGGATGTCCGCGGCCTCGAGGACACACAGAGGTAGGGGGATGCCCCGAAAGAGAGGCTGGAGGGAATCGTCGTCKTCCAGCGGAAGTTTCCAGGACTGTGTCGATGAATCACCCTCAATCATGGCCTTGTAGCTTTGAATCTTCTTCGATCGGCTCACACCATTGCATCCCGGTCCGTACTGCGGTGGAATGTCCTTGACATGGGTGTAGTAATCTGATTTGAAGGCCAGGTAATACTCGTGTTGTTCCAGAGCGTCCATCCACTTTCGAAGGTTGGACAGGGTGGGATAATCGTTAGGATCCCTTAGGTTCATACCCTTCCAATATGCACAGCTTGCCAACATCCGCTCAACGTGCGATGCGTAGACAAAATCGATCATCGTGGGATGGTTGCTGCCGCTGGCCGAGGAATCCAAAAAGTAGGGTCCATTCGTTGCCCCTAGTTGGGCATCAACGGTTTCTAGACAGTCCAAAAATCCTTTCATGGAAGGCGACACGTAGCTGTCGTCGTCGTTTCCTTCCGCGTTGCCGCCAAACAAGTTTCCCACGAGGCCAGCGACACCGCCGCCAGYACCACCACCCATGATATTTGGCTGCTCCGGACGAAACATGAAGGTGCACCACCATCGAAACAATTCTCTCTCGAGGCCCATCAGAGATGTGTACCGTCGATACTCCTCGGGCTGCGTTTGCCGATCCGGAATCATGTTGCCAACATGGTTGCTTTTGCTGTTTGCGTCGCGATTTGAATAGTCCTCAAGAAAYTCCATAATGTAGGCCGAATCAAGAGCAACATTTCCCGAAGCATTGTCTTCTAGTGCTGGTAGCATACCGTTCGGAACCTTTCTCAAAAACGATTGAGGTTTGTCGCCGTAGCTCCTCATGTTGACGAGCTCGATGTTTACCGGGATTTTCTTCGCCTCGATTAACAGCATAGTTTTCTGGCAGTAACTAAAGTTTCGTGTCGTTTTAATCCATTCGTCAATCACCACAAGCCGACAAGTAAGGAAAAAGGTTAATGGCAAASAAAACACAAACAAAAACAATTGAGGGCTCTTTTGGCGAAACAACATCACGAGTATTAGCACATCCAGACTCTTTCKAACTCACGGACACCAACCAGCATGGTCACGATACAACGTGTAAGCTGGTTGCTGCTGCTCTTTTTCGCTGTCTACAAACAACCGCAGCTTGYTGTGCACGTTGGGACTTCCGATTCCCTTGCTTCGGAGCTCAACGTCGGCATCGAGTGCGGCTCCCACCGGCGTGTCGGACGCAAGGGTCTTTAGTTGGTCCCACGTCGGCAGAGGAGCCGCGGAGGTCGTTGTCGATTCGGAAGTCGACGCTGCCATCATTCGCGTTCTAGGGCTAATAGTGCAAACCGTCGACGAAGAAAAAGCTCTGGCGAGATGGCAACAACTGCAGCAAATGATGAGAAAGAGCGTTGTGAACCACCCAATAAATCCGATGTTGTTTCTGCTTCTTCTAGAGGCTGGAGCCATCGTGACTAGGTGATAAAAGAAAGCGAGACTTCGTTTTCCTGTCTTCTTCACAAAGATACGGTGCCGAATCGTACGCTTTGCCAAAAAAATCTTCGTCGTTGACGTCGAAACAACATAGTTAGTTGTGTTGATGAACGTGGTGTACAGTATTTTGTATTTTCCTTCACTTTGCCGTACCGTACGTAGTTTTTTCTGCCGAACTGAAATGTAGTGAGACAGATTTTTTGTTGTGGAACACGTACGTCCGTGCGTTCGTAGCATTGGACTAGACTCTTAGTTAAAGTACCACTGCAGTGTATGTTCCTTTGGTACTAGTAGAGCTATTAATGGTAAGTCCTGTACTACTGGCAAGTCATTGGCAATTCCTGTACAAATGCTAGTAGAAAATTTTAGCTCATTTTTACTGATAAAATCCTTTATATTAACTGTCAATGCAATGCAAATACTCCTCTGTATCAGTGTCCTTCATATCAGCGTACTCCGCATCTCCTGCATACTCCATCACCAGCACAACCATATCGCACCACATTCTAGTATATCAGCAGCTCCCACATCACATATTCCACACACTCCATATTTGTACACTCCACCATACTACTACTACTACTGTTGGTTGATTGTTGGCATAATGCATTAACCCTTTACAAGCAGATTGGTTCATGATTCCTTGTTGTTGTTGATACTAAGAATACTACTAGTAGTAGCTAGTAGTACTGAACATGCGCTCTGTACTATCGTCAGTGTCCCTCATAAATTGGTTGATTGTTCCTGTACAAAATCATCCAGTGGATCAAAGATTACATTCCTCACCATTGAAAGCACTAACTGACTTGAAGAAATGGCAGCCCTTTGAGTACCCACAAAGGCTGCCCTTATGGTGTCATACCCCCCCACTTCCATCATGACGAAGACCATCATGTCCACCATGAAGAATATGCTCTCCTCATACTTGCACATGGCAGGAAAACCAGCCAGCCCTGCAGGTTTGGAACTGCCAATAACTTGCTAGGACAGGATCCACCATTAATAGCTCTATTCCTCAATGTGGTAGCACACTGCCTTCCTTGTTAAACATTTATTTGGGTCTTAAACATACCTTTAAAAAGGCAGGAAGAAGGGTTCTGAAAACGAGGAAGAAGGACATCCTTACCTGCCAATATTTTGAATGTTAATGTATGCTGGCAAGAATCACAGTATACATTTCTACASAGGCCTCTCTTCCTGCCATCACTGGCTGGCCCACATGTCAGTCCCTTGAATAGGAAGATCAGCACATTGACTATGAGACAGTTAACAGGCCTTTTTCTTCAGTATGAAGAAGTTAAGCTTCTGCACGCCAGTCCCTTGAGCTTTGAAGCCTCCACATGCCAGTTCCTTGAGTATCTATAAATGCAACAATCATTTCCTTCAGTATGAATCCTCTGCACGCTGTCCCTTCTTGAGTATCAGCAAATGCAAATTACTTGAGTATAAGACAGTTAATCACCTTTTTGCTTGAGTATGGATGGTCTGCACACCGGTCACTTGAGTATCCACAAATGCAAATGCAAATGCAAACGCAAAGAGTATGAATGAACACTTGTGGGTGAGATATTTTGCTTGTGGATATGACTGTTTTGCCTTGTTTTGCTGTATCCTGCTAGTGCTGTTTTGTGTGTTATTTTTGTATGTATGGTAGAGGTTCAGCATCAGATGCAGTTCCAGTGCTGAATTTGCTGTATAAAAAGATGTGCATACATTACATAGGATTCCTACTGTAGTACTGTAATGTACAGGGGGTACTTGTGCATGGTAGTAGGCAAGCCAGCTGGCCCTGGAGGTTCAGAATTGCCACTAACTTGCTGCCAGCTCTATTTGGTACAGTACTATGATAACTGTGGTGTTGCATGGTCTGTGCATGTACACAAAATGTAACCATCATTTTGAACTCATGAGAAGTGAATGTTCACATTTGATGAGGCTTTTGCAATCATAATACTGCACAATGAATACAATATATGAGTGAAACAAACTGATAAGAATAAAGTTGACCTAAGTGTAAAGAAAGAAWGAAGAGTTTTTATGATGCAGAGAGCAGAAGAAAAGAGCAGGTTTGGGTGTCAGAGGAGAGTAGTAGGTTGTTATTTTTGAAGAAGTTGTGTGAAGAGATTGAGGAGTTTTGTCAAAACCCTGCTGCAACATGGTTTGAGTTTGAAATCCTACTAATACTACTAGAGCAGATACAGGAGGAMTTTGGTGGTGACTTCCTACTAGCTACTGCAAGCCCTGGTATCCATTAAAACAAGTCATGAAGTAACACAAAGCAAGCTTGCATTCCTGAGGTGTTACAAGCAACTCCTGGGCTGCTCTTCTGAGAATAATAACTGTGATTCCTTGCTTGGTAATAGGTCTGGCAACAGAAGAGGTTTGATAATAATGTGTGGTATAATAATGTGTGGTCAATACATAATCATCTTAAATATTGTTCTAATAATTTGTAGTAACCTTTCTGGGAATAGCGATGCATCAATCGTAGTAAAAAATATTCAGTGCTGGTTGGAAATGTAGGGAAAGATGTTGCAAGGCAACAAAGAATGTACACATGTTGCAACCATCCGAGTGGGGATTTGTACTAGGAAAAAATAAATAGTGGCTGGATGCATTGATCACACGGTACCAGTACCCTATGGTGCTACGTGCTCTGTTGCTGGTTGTATGCTTGAACTCGAAGAGAAAATACAACAGCTTTGACATTAGTAGGTCCAAATTAGACCAAACATTATTGCGTCGTATAATTCTAAGGACTTAACTCGGGAATGCGATTGTGAGAAGTTGTGCTCTTTGGCCGGCGAGGGGGCTGCTCAAATAGCTGAACTGGGCGGTTATGCTTGCGATATTGATTCATTTCGCGGAGTCTTTGGAATGCCTATCATCGCAATTCCATCCCGACAATAGCACCACGGGCTCGCTTCGACCGTCAATTTCAACCTTGGAAATGATATTCAGAATAGGTTTCTCCAGCAGTCAACGAAGAGGCTCCGTTCGTAACTATATTCGTTTTTCTGTGATAGTGAGAGAGAATAAGGAGCCCGTGGAGTCACTCGTAGTTGCCTTTGGTCCTTCTTTTGTGCGTGTTGAGCTGTTCCATGGAGTTTCGTTCCTATGGTTGAGTAACGTTCTGCTTGTCATCAGAGTCTACCACTACATGCACCTGGCCTGCCCCATATAGCTGGACCGAGTCTGGCAATTTCCCGCGGACGAGCTCGTAGCACACCAGATAGATCCGTGGGAACACCATAAATGCGATTGTCGAAAAGACGTAATAGAACTTCCAGACAGTAAACGCGACAACCCCCACCAGGTAGACTTCGTAGCGGAATTCCTTAATCTCGCTATTCGCCCATAGAACTAGGCCCAAACACACAATTCCTACGATCTTCTGAGAGATAATGAGCCACATCACGTGCTTGGCGTCCCCGAGTTCTTCGTTGAAGGTCCTGAGTTTCCACGCGAAGACGAGGATGCCTATTTGAATCAGGAACAAGATGATGTTTTTGACGCACTGAAAATAAAAATGACCAGACCACAGTCCGCCATCAAAGACCGGACAAAATTCGATTGTTTGAGTATCCGTCGTTTGACAAGCAATGCCTCCGATGGTGGTAGCGTTGACATCCTCAATACTGATTACCGAGTGGTCGGTCGGATACAGGATTTGCGAGGCGGCCATCAGTGCGACCGCAAGCGACAAAACTACTGCAAAGGGTCCAAAGAGAAGGTGACTTGCGAGTATTGGTCGGTGGCGGCGGAATTGGGTCAATTTGTGCACCCGGTAGAGCTTGCAGAGCAGAACCGTGAAGATAACTATGGAACCGAGGAAATACAGCCAGTCGTCTATCTCGCAAAGGACGTCCATAGTTTTCGGCTCGAGGTCCACGATGCACATTGACCCCGGTAACACCCAGCAGATGGTCGCGGCGATGTGCAACAAGGCTCCAAGGCAAAGCACCGATAGCATCGTAGGTTGGCCCATTGCAATGATTGGCTTGGACCGAAAGCAGTTGATAAAGACCAAGGACCCAAGGGTCGCAAAAAGGTTCACCCCAAACGAAGCACCCCAAAGTCCTATCAGTAATCTCGAAGCAGCCATCATTTTGCCAGTTTGAGCCAGCTTGTGTTTCCCTGTTGGTCCCTGAGGTTGGTGTGTTGCGTGATGTTTTATCCGCTGTCGTATCGTAGTGGACGAAAGTAGGAATACTGTTCGATAAAAGTAGAAAATTATTGTGAACGTACTCGTACCACCCATGCTAGTCCATGAGGATGTGTCAGAAAGAAGTAGGACTTGTTTTTAAACATTAGTTAGTACGAAATTAGGAATGCGTACAACTACTTTATTASATTCCCGGGACTTGCAGAATAATCTTCGTCTCGGGGCTATTCTTGAAAAATAAATCRCCTGTCACTTATCACACAATGAATGCGAGGGACAATCTAAAGAAACTTCGTGATTCTTGTATCGGCATTAACAACAATTCGGTAGGAGTAGGTACTAGTACCGTACGGTATGGTGAAAGGCACAGACAGAAATACTGTAATAGCTACGGATCAGCAGTCGATAGAACATAACGAATATCTCGCTATGCACCAAATCGATACGCTGAAATCGACGCAGCATCCAAGGGCGCTCTATTACKTGTGACAACTACTCGTACCAAATGATGCAGGTACAGCATCTGCACGGTACAAACCAGCAATCGACAAGGATAATGTTTTTGTGAGGGATGTACTGATCGATCCACGACGCAGCAATCAACTGCTGGACCGGCAATCGAATTCGACGAATTCGACGTTTGTTGTCGGGAACATTAGCGCCTCGGGCCGGCTGCGTCTTTCACGTCAGAGCAAATTCAGATACGATAACAACCGATACTCGTAGCGTTTCGGATCAGCTGTACCTCTGCCTCGTACCAGCGCGTTTCGGAAGCATCGGCGGCAGCACCAAAGCTTGTACCGTTACAGTGCAGTGTAACGTATTCGCGTCYCGTTTAGGCATTACTGCCACCTTGCATCACCGGCCGATTAGATCAGTGCCGCTTGGTATAGGCATCATCCTCTYGTTGCGTATAAGCGTGCATGCATTCTATCCGTGATCGATTCGTCGTTCCTTCTAATTTAGCTGTAGCTTCTAGCCTAATGGTGATTTGCACTATCTTTTGCTATTATAACAATTGTATGGTCATATCTATCATATTCTTTTCTATTTTAATTCACATAGTTTCGTCTGCTCGTTCATTGTCCCTTCGATTCATGGACTTTGTTCGCGCACGGGACGCTTCTAACAAAAATGTATCAAGCGTGTGGCAAGCTATGCACCTCCACAAATCAATCCGATCTCCGCTTTCCATTTCACATGCGCCTCCACACCGCCCACGTCTTCTGGTCGAAGCCTGCGGCACATGGCAGAATGAATCCGCAATTGAGTACGTACACAACACACACTGCATCGAGTCTGTCTGATTAGCAAGAAGAATTACATGCCACGGGACAAGCATCTCGGACCTTGATGCCGTCCGATTTTTTCTTGCAGATCTTGGGTTTCTTGCGAGCCTTTTTCGCGACCCAATCGCAGTTCTTATTCTCTTTGCCCTTGAACAAAAACGATGGATCATTTTCGCAACCGTTGTCATTGTCGTTGTCATTGTCGTTGTCATTGTCATTGTCGTCATTCGAACACGCGTCACACGCCACAGGGCAGAATTTGGACACTTTTTTGCCCCCGTATGTTTTGCCGCAGAACTTTCCTCCCTTTTTCATGATCCAATCGCAATCCTTTCCATCCTTTCCACGCCAGAGGAAGGTCTCATCGTCCTTGCAATCTGAATCGTCCTCGTCCTCGTCCTCATTATCGTTCTCATCCTCATTCTCGTCCTCGTCCTCATTCTCATCCTCGTCCTCATTATCGTCCTCATTCTCGTCCTCATTCTCGTCCTCATTCTCATTCTCGTCCTCGTTATCGTTATCGTTATCGTTATCGTTATCATCCTCGCTGCTTTTTGGATAGCCGAAGTTCGACACCTCCCAACACATGCTATCGTCTTCGTCTATAGGCTCGTTAAGGGCTGGCGAATCGCTTTGGCTGCATCCCCCATTGTATGGGGTAGATCCCTCCTCGTTGGCATCGCGGCATTCGTTCACGTCTTCATCTGGGGGAACAAGGCGTCGGTGATCACAGCGGTTCACAATTGTTCCGCTGGTCACTTGTCCAATCCATCCACAGCAACACCTCAGACGACCATTCTGTATATGAGGTATTGCGTTCGTAGATAGAACAAAAGGAAAGAAAGAAAATTTGTATCAGATTTTGAAGCACTATCGGATTCTTTGAGGCAGCTGCACAAAAACAGTCACGAAGCTTTCGCGTTCTGTTTGGCTTCTTGTATATAGCACAACACAAGGCAGCACAATACAAGCTTCAACCTACATATTGTCTGTGCCAGTGGTCACGGACCCACCAGTAAAACGTATCGTCGCTATCACTTCCGTGACAATGTCCGGCTTGGTCGTAACCTGGGTCGTTGAAGCCAGCAGTGGTGTTGCAGTACCCAAAATTCAAGTCTCCCAGAAGATTGACAGTAGGCCAGCCAGGTTGTTCTAGGATGCGACAATACCAACCTTGTCCGCCGCAGTCGATGGGTCCCTCCAAAAATGCGGCGGTTTTCGACTTAGTGGCACAAGCTCCTGCAAGAGGGGCAGGGCAAGCTGGATCATTGTCATCGACAACGGCCGTCGCCGGTGTTCCCGTGTGAAATGTGGCACCCGGAGGATAGTTTGTGGCATCGTCTACGAAGGGTGGACCAGCATCGTCTGCGCACTGTTGACTGTAGGGCGGGAAAATGCTGGTTGTGGTAGACACCAATCCTCGTAGACCGGCTGTGCTGCTGCTTGTACTGGTGGTTGAATGAGAGGTAACCTCAAAAATGTTGCTGAAGGTGACGACGGGAATGATGGAGAGTAGTTTCATGGTTGCTTTGCGTAGAGAGGAATGGAATTTATGCTGTTGGCGAAGGCTGTCGTATTCGTTCACGTTTGGTGGTCAAGTAAATTTTATATTTCGATGGTTACAGTTTCTGGGTGTTGGAAATTCAAATTGTGAGACACTGTATCCTGAAGATAAATTGCAAAAAGAGACGTGAGGAAGTCGTCGGGATTACTGTAGTTCGTAAGTAGCACCGTACGACAAGAATTCGAATTCGATTTTTTGCTTCAACGATTACCAGTACTAACCATAACGAGTAGGCATGGTTTCATAATCATTCATCGTTGAAACTTGAACTCCACATCTCGTACTCGTAGTTCTTGCTTTATCATTGTAAGGTACCGGTACGGAGGAGACTGACCTACGGGTATCATTATTATTCACTGTATCACGCGTACTGAATCTTCTATTTTTTAATCTTGTCTGCTTCCGAATCAATAACCAAGAAACAGATCATCGTGATCGAGATAATAGGTGGTCATATGAAACTTATGCCTTTTAAGAGAACCCAAGATTAAAAAGTCATAAAATTAT